AGAGACTTAACCTTAGACTTGACTCACAGGAAGATGAGTTCACAATGTGTACCCATAGCTTGATATTCATACTTGTTTATTTTTTTTGTTATCAATTATTATAAAAAAAAAAAAAAAGCTTTTACATCTGTAATATTAAAAAAAATACTGTAACAGTTATAATTATGTTAATATATGCGTTCAATTTTTATATTGGTTAAACAGAAAAAGGATTTTTTCCTCAATATTTCGTAACTTAGGCGTTTTATGACTATCAATAAAATAAATTCCTACTTATCTATCTCACAAATGTTTGGAGGTAGAGATGGATGTTTTTTTAGAAAGGATCTCCAGAACAGTTTAAGGAACGGATCTTGATGGAATTCAGAACAGATGTAGAACATAGTCTGGAAGAACACGTAGGCTACTTACTATGTGTTTTATACCACGCGCACAGCTATATAGTTATAGTTTTGTGAAGCAATGAGTACGTATAAATCCTTCAATGAGTTTTTATCCTGTATCCGCTGTGTAGGGCAGGTTCAAAAACAGGCGAAATAATTATTTTATGTCAAAAGTTAAAATATCAACCTTATATTCATCACTGATATATATTTACATAATAAAACTATATTTTGGTATTGGCAGTGTTTTTGAGTAATGTCAACATACTTCGAAAGTGAATGTTTTTATTTTCATACCGTTTTGCATCACGTCACATATTATCACAAGATGTTAAAACATTTTTAATAATGATGTTGTCAGTTCAGTTTATTTGAAACTCTCGATCAATCGCTGCGAGAAAACCCGCATGCCGGAAGATAAGTCATTCAATGGCATCCTGCAAGAAAGCATTATAACACGTATTTTGTATACAATGTTTTATGCGAGAAAGTTTAGCGGTATACTAATTAATGCGTTGGCACAAACGTGTTAACAAAATTTAATCGCCTTTTTGATTACCGTTATATTTGTACCAGGGTTAATTAAGTTTATAAACTAGTGCCTGGTACCTATTTGCCGTCCAATTATGAAAGAGTACCTTCTGAGTCTGCTGTCTTTTATTCACCTAGACCTAAAGTATAAAATCCTGGTTAGATCCCTGATTGTTGTAGGTCATTGAAATGTTCATTTTTTTATATGTCCTGTTTGATTCCTGATTAGTTAAAAAATATATTTTCGTATTTATGCTTTAATACAATGGACCGATTGCAGTGTCGTGAATACGAAGTAAAGTTGTGAAGATGGGCATTGCGTTGGTTGCAGTTCATTATACTTCCCAATTACCATTGATGCCGTGGGGCGGTGTTGCACCGAAGGGTTGTGTCGGTGGTAGGGGGTAGCGCCGCGCTTGCGCACTGCTTCGGTCGATCACGGCCACCCATGCGACCGCCACGTGCTCTGCCTTTCTTCTATACGACACTTTTTTATCGTTAACATCCGAACTGTATAGATACTAGTAGTCTGCCACTCCCTTTTTTTATCTAATTGAAGATTTCATGCGATTTTTTTTTAAATTTTGCAACAGAAATAGAATTGTATGGTTTTTGTAAATGAAAGTGGATAAAAAGATTCTTTACTTAAAGTATCTATATGCATTTCTTCTAGGAATATTTTATGTAACTTTTTAATAGGTGATTGTCTGATTAAACGTTTCGATATCTGAAATAAACTGTTGTTAATTTTTCCATAATTACATATTCGATTTATAATAATAAATCGAACTGTATAAGTTTGTGCATGCGTGATTGCGGATGTCTATTCTCTACGACTCGAGTACTTCCGCTAATGACCCGCACTGAGGTTTACTTCGCGTCTTAGCTGACGCGGGCCAATGAACCAAAAACGTCATTTCCTTCTTTCACCTATTGATAACAGTGATGAAAACCCAGGTAATACGTTTTATTTTAATAAAAAACTGATTAATATTATCAAATGGATTTTGATGTTTTTAACCTCATTTATGAATTAATTGTACTTTGAATTTAATGCTTTCAGCATTACTGTATAAAGTAAGGCTTTGATACTAGTAAAATTGACTTTTTATTCTAAGAGGTGTTTAATAATGCGTTTGATGACGCTCGAGGGTTAAAGTACTCTTCAAATGATTGCAATTAGACCGGCGTTGCTTAGGGCTGCTTTGATTTAAATGTCCATTAATGAACTCACAAGGGTGAAATATGTTTAAATAGTTAATTTCTCGTTTATATTCGACTCGATTATTGCACGATCAATATATTAACACTTAAAATTCTTACTTTACTGAGTTTTTAATGCATATATTCCAAATTTCTCTTTGCGAAAAATTAATAGTAAAATTTACTTAAAATTGAATATTTGACTTCATTTATTACTATCCTATTCTGGTTTTATTACTATCAATCATTTTTATGGACATAAATTGTTCCATTTATACGTATCCATGTATTTTGTGGAGCAAAGATGAAAATGATAGAATAAAATTTTCGTGTTGACCTTGACTGAGAATAAGGAACAATGCATTTTCAACCCTCCAGTCGGGTGAGGCAACCGTGCCCTCTGGTAATAGTCCTGACTGAGAGACTGCGGGCGGAGCGCGCGGGGGGCGGCCCTCCCCCGCGCGCCACCCGGCCCCGTCTCGCCGCGCCGACCTGTCAAACCGAGTCCGAACGGCGGCCGGCGCGTACGTACTTCGACGAACTTACAAGTCTCGTCGTTCGCGGTGACAGTGTGTGCTCGCGCTATACGAATCGCATGACGGTAAACATCGGAGAGAGATGAACGGCACAACGACGACGGTGAACGGCGGCGCCGTCAATGGCACCGCTGGTGCTCTTAATGGGCTCGCAGCAGCGCCGCGTACTGCCACGCTTGGCACCCCTGGCGGCTACGCGTATACGTCCAGCGGGTCGCTACTGGGGCGCGGGGGCTCAGCGCGACCAGTGCCGCCGCCCACATTGCCCAAATACAGTGGCTCCTTCAGCGCCGGCAGCACGCTCAGCGCCACAGGGCTACGCGAGCGAGACCGGGAGGGTGCCGGTGGTTCGCACCGCCTCGCCAGCCTCGAGCGGCTTGCCCTGCGGCAGCGCATCATCGAGCAGAGCGCCAACAATCAGGTGGCGAGCGCGACCTCCCTCAATACGACTGCGACGACGAGCAATGGACCCACCGCGGCCACCGCCACCCTCACCGACACGGCCACGGTGAGTCCCGCACCCCTCTCGATGTTCCCCCAATCGCTCCGTTAACGCACGCACCCCAAAGGGAAATTTCGTTATTTTAGTGCAACCCTCTTGTACTAACGATTGGATTCAAGTTTATAACACTTGTGTTCCTTTTATTTTACGTATGAAAGTGTAGAGCGTATACATCTTAAGAAGAATCATACGTAATAATAATGCACTTGTAAGTAAAATTCATATTCTATTCTAAGTTAGTATATAACCTTTAAATGATCGATTCTTTTTATTTTGATTACACTGTCGTAGGTGGAGTGGCTCCCTTCTAAGTTGTAACATTGCAAGGAGTTAATCTATACCTGTATCTGGCTGTTTAAAGTGGAAGGAAACAACCACCCTAAAACGAATGACAAACAGTTCTGTCCATCTCTCAAAACCCTAAAGGAACAACAAATCATGTACATGTTGAAAGTAATTTTTTTAATACTTTCTTAACGGGACCCTCGCTACATTTCGACGCATGACGTATTAAAAAAGGACCAGTCGACAGTTATACGGCCTAATTACTGTGCCCGATCAATTTGCTTAAACTTACATTGTTTATGATAAAAATTATTAAAAATGATAGAATATAAATATGGAGAATTGCACGTACCTTCGTATTTTTGTATAGTCCGGAAACAATAGAACTCAGAACTAATGACGTGTAGAGTTATAATTTGTTTTATATTATGATCATTCTATTGAATGAGACTGTTGATAAACTTTCACGGACGAATACGTTTTCAGGGACTGTAGTAGGAAAAAGTCTAATGACAGTTCAGATTTTCTCAAAGATTTCGATAAATAAGATCATGTTTCTTAATATATTTAAATCTTTCTAGACACAACCACGATTATGAGTCATTTGTCGTGAGTAGTCTCTAGGTTTTGTTTTTACTCCGTTTCTTATTTCCCTTCGTAAGGACTTGGCTGGTGCATTCCCACGCGAGTTCCTCCTGTGATAGGACTGGTCCTCGCGGGGAGGACTGCGGGTGACTGACCCCAAGTCACACAGGGTTAAAAATAACCCGTGCAGCGGCGGCCATTCTGCTCGCATGTGTCGAATTCACTAAACAGACATTAACTGTTTCACGGTCGCGCCCTGACCTGAAATTTCTCAGAACGCTAATAAAAGGCAGCAAAAAATACGCAAATTTTCTTTGATTTCATCTTTTTGTATTGTCAAGAGTTTAATGTAGGCATTTATAAGTTAACATATGTGAAAGGATATGTTTGCATGCATACGTGATCGTGTAACTGTATCCTTTTAAGCCTTCTTTGTTTGAAATAAAATTAAAGCTTTTACTGTCTACAACGAACAAAAGAGCCATAATAATCCGTCGATTATATACAAGAGAGGCTCTTTATTATTATGTTTACTGAATTCTAGGAATTTCTGTTATCAGTAAGACGTTATCACGGTGGACGCGTTGAGAAAGCTGGCCAGATAACGCAGGAAACAGACTTTGTATTTATTTGTATAATACATTTCAACTTCTACCAAGTTATACGTACAGCGGGGTTACACAGTACTGATTTTTTAGTTTATACGAACCAGCAAAAGCGGTTAGGGCACGTTCTCCTCTTGCATTATTTAACTTAAGACGTAACGATGTAAACACACACTGCTAATAACTTATTTTCGTCTCTCTTTCGAGTGGATTAAGGTTTATTTTGCTTGCTATTAATCGACTAGTTATTTTATTTTCAACAATAAGACCCCGCTTTTGTGCGTCTGGTGGGCATAAGTGTGACGGCCCGGGATCCTTTTGCGTCTATACGAAGTTATAGACATAATTAACTTATACCTGAGTTAACGTGGACGCGTTCTACAACTGGGGGATTCAGTTTCAAATTAAATACGTTAAATTTCTTTTTTTCTTAATATTTTGCTTGTTCGTGACGTCTAAAATATTTAGTAATACGTTCGTTTTTTTAAAAGAACAGATAGTGTCTTTGATATTTGACAAATTTGATATTTTTCTTTACTTTAGAAAGATAAGTTAGTGCAGGTGTTTTAAAGTTGTTTTATAATATGGCGATGTGTTTCCGGCCCGTGCGGTTGACGGCAGCCGCGTCGCTGGGGCGCTCGTGTGCCAGCCGGCAGCCGGCCCCGAGTCACCGGTAACTTAACCTCAAACCGATACAGACGCGAGTGTGCTTCATATTAAAGCGGCTGTCCGGTTTCTATCCATCTGAACTTTAGTGTATCATCGTCTACATGCAATTTTATTGTGACGCGAATTTTTGTTACGCAACATTTATGATTCAAAATATAAACGAGTCAGAGTAACGGTGTAAAATAAAAGACAAAGCAGACAACAAATTCGAGAGGCGGTTACAAAAAAATGTATAACAACCGTGCGTACACGTAACACGAACGAGACTCGCTAAGTGAATTGCGAGTGATTGTGTTCGCGAATTTGTTACTTGTGCCTGTGTTTGTGTGCGAATGACTTTATCCAAACGTGTGTGATCTGGAGCCGAACTTGTTTTTGTATATTCGCCGTATTCGGATGGGCGCAGAATGGAAAGCAGGCCTTTAAGCAACGGCGCGGGGAATACGAAGTTGACCCGATGCGCCAGCAGCGTCGGCGACAGTGCCTCGGACAAAACAAAGGCAGGTTGGTCGAGCCCGCGCGACATATGGAGGAATCTGTCCTTGAGAAGAAAGGCTGAGGTGAATATTTAGTTTGGTATCGATTAGCTGCAAGTAGTAATTTTAACATTGTTTTGAATTATGGTGGAGTTGTATTGATTTATAGCTACCGCTATCGGACGCGGAGACACAACGATACGTTAGAATATACGTCAAGACTGTATTGACGCCTGCAGATAAATAACAGATAATATATTTCTATATTTGTTCGTAATTGATACGCATTTATAATTTAATGCCTATTTAAAACGGAGGCATAATATTGTAATCAAAAGGAGATTGTTGTCAGTTGTAAGTTCAAGCCTGAGAATAAAAGAATCATCTTCAATCCATCAGAGTTTATTCGAAAGATGAATGAACATCATACAGAAATTGAAATTGTTTATATTCTGATATGTAGTTTTATAGGCCTAAAACAGAGGTGTAAAATTCGGGAACTATTTATTAGGGAAGACTCATGTAAAAAGCACATAGCCAGATTAATGAGGAGGGATCTGTTAAATATGAGTCCAGGTTGTGCTTACGCTTAGGGTGAAATGCGTGAGTATTTATGCATTTAACTATGTATCCGGTCGTATTTCTGTCTAGTGCGAAAGTACAATAGGCGTAGTTAAACATGTCCATGTTAATTTGCATTCAATGTAGCATTGATGTGTTCGATCGGTTTCCTGATAAATCTCACTTGCATATTCTACGTATATCCATTTCGATATCCTTGGTGTTGGGTCATTGACTCGATCTATATAACGACAAGTCGCGACTGCATTCGGCGCCTCAGCCTGTTGCACATTATCTGTAAATGGCGAATGTGTCTACGTCTCGCCCACAAACTCTTCGACTATAAATAATTTAACAGTACGGACATGTATGTGCCACTTCTGATATGCACTTCATCTTGTGCGCCGTATTATAAATATACTGGGAAAATATACTTCAAACGTTTTCGTTTTGCTTAATCTTAGAATATTGTAAAGTTATCGTACTAAAACTTATAATGAAAACAGCGAATTATAGAACTTACTGGGCAAATCTTAGGGTTAAATGAAAGTACCAATGTGTAAGTCGGGATTATGAATACTTACTACGGATTGAATATTAATTTTCGTTGAGATTCCTTTCTCAATCGAAAGTAATAAAAATAACTAGTCATAAATGTCTAAGATAATTTCTAGTTTAGTACAGCTCGATAATTTGTTGTTATTTTTAACTTTGTATTCTCCGTTTCAACTTTGCTATACTGTATAAAGAGATTGCGGTTTTATCTGCGGTTGGCTTATAGCTATCATACAAATTCTAAACATGTTTTAGTCCAAGTCTTAAGATATTCTTGTTTATAGACAATCTTACAGTAATACTATCATTTAAGTCAATATATATATTTTTATATTTTACTGAACAACAAACTGTATGGATAGTTGATGTAAATTATGTACAGTTAATCATTACCATCAATTGAATTTACAGTTACTTTAACTACAAAGCGTCATTTTAATAGTGTTTGTTTCAATATTACTATAATCTCCTTAGCTATAATCATTTCTTCAAATAAACCGTTGTATTTTATTCATTCTCCGTGCCTTTTGTATGCGGACATCTGTTACGTCTTGACAGCGTTTTAAGTTAGAGCCTGATATATACTATGAAACTATCGTTAAAGCAAGTCTCATTTGTTTGTTGTGTTAGCAATACAAAACTTAACTTTTGTCTAAGATGATACACGAAATGGTTATAAACGCTTTGAGACACGTGTCTGTCTGTCGACAAGAAATTGTGTTTCGTTGACGTTCTCTAACTGTTGGACATTTCCAAATGTTTTGGTGGCGATGCGCTACAGCTTGTCACATAATTAGCATTTCTCTCATTCTATTTATAACGTGGTTTTAAATGTTTATTTTAGGAAACACCACAAATTGTTACGCAACCGTGCTTATTTAGAGAGACGTTAACTAGCTAAGCCGAATTATTTACAAGCTGTAATTCGCTTACAACCCTTATTCTATTGTTTTAAAGTTCATTCGTTAAATGGTGACAATTTGAAAACAATAGATAAATAAAAATGAGATGTCTATCAACAATTTTTGAAATTTAACTTTGCTGATTTTGAAATGTTAAGAAAAATCAACCAAATTTTTGGACGAATCTCATGCAAAATAGGAAGTATTTGTAACCGCTAGACATGGTAAACATTATAATGATTTACGACGCGTTATGTTACCCTGTATTATAGGTGCTGCTAATGTAGGGATCGCGTATACAAAATGAGCGACAATTAGTTTAACCTCAATTTAAAAAAGGTTCACGGGTGACGTTATATGTAATTAGTCGTTAATTATATTATGCGTGTTTGTGATAACTGATACGGAGCGAGACAAAGAATGTTTGCACAAATTAAACAATTATATTTGTGTAATTCGTTTGCATGTCTTAAGTTAATGTTCCACTTCCTTTCGAAGTGTTGGGCGCTAAAGAAAATAATGATATGTTTGTTGACATTTTTATGGTTTTGTCCCAATGTAAGGTAATTTTTTTACTATAAATTATCATAAAAATACACGTACTACCGAAGATATGAAGAGTTCCAAACATACGGCAAAATACTTTTTGAGTTCTGATAGAAAATATAATAATAAATTGTTGTTTTACAGGTCAACAAAATAATTAATATTGCTGATAGGAATACAAAATGTAATGCTACCCAATGAGCTAACATAAGAAATCTTATTTAGTTAGGCCTCTCCGTCGGAGTCTAAAACTTATTTATGGTTTAAAAGAAGAATTGCTAGTTAGATTTTAATTCCATAGGCGAGGGTACTTCATTACTCAAAGTAGGAAAATAGCAAAGTGATGTAGTACATATAAAAACGCACACGGCTTGCCTTCGCGCCACATCACATGAATAATGTAACGCAGTCCTCTTATGCATTGTGGTGCATTCGAGATTAACCAGCTAACAGCTTAGGTTTTAATAAATCTAGACCGAACGTGTCGCGTTCAAAAGGAAAACTAAAAAGTTAGATTTATAGCAGTTTCTAATTTAATAAATTTGAAAAAGATTTGCGAGTAATAATATTTCTTTAAGATATTTTTTCACATCGAATAATTGACATAATGAATTCTCATACCTTACTTGTCACATTCGCCTTTACACATCGCTTTCCTTATAAAATTCAAAGAAGTAGGGAAGTGTAAAAGATAACCTTTTATTACTTAATAGTTTTTATTACTTCTTAACAAAATTAGTTCGATACAGCAAAAAGTGGTTAAGCAATAAGTAGAGGCACTAAAACAAGTTTCATTTTATTTGTATCATAATGTGACATAATTAATTAATACCGACATTAAGTCTGGGTTACTATGCATCATCTCCAGAGACGTATCTGAATAAACTCGTTCCATTAGCATCAGATCCGGTTTTGCCTACGCGAGGATCAAACGCCCACAGCTCTTGTACTCAAATGGGATAAATACTTGTCGAAAGAGGAACTCTCAATTCCGTATACAGTCATTTAAAAACAACTTCTTAGAAAATTTTATCTCTTAATCAAGTCATTGCAACTATTTAAAGTCCGAGCTTCAATAAAAGATTTTATATCTTTTATAACCAAGTAACTTAATTATAAGTCTTTAGTATTTTTATGAGTAGAGTGGTTCTCGTGAAGTAAAAGAGGGAATATTTGGAGAACAAAATTAATCAATAACATGAAATATAAACTGGGTTAAATGGCACGGGACCGGTTAGCTAGTTCGCGGAATCGATGACGGATAGGAAGAAATATTTACCCATGCCATAAGGATAGAATTGTCGGTCTGTATAGACGTTAATCTGTTCTTTTCTGTACAAATTATATTTTTTAAAACTCATGTTAAACAAAACGAGCCCTAAGTTATAAAACCAGGCGACCCACTGTTTGTAGTTACAATTAATGAATATTGCAATTTTATTTTCAAATGCAAAAGCAGCAAGTGTAGCAGTACCTCTTAAATAAATGCAAGTTTATAAGAATTGAATGTTTAATGAAGATTAGAAAATACAAAGTTTAAATGTAGAAACGTAATTATAAAGTAAACGTCACATAAAACAATGAGTTGTATAAGAAAAATGCACTGTGTGAATAAGCATGTGCATGTAGAAAGTTAAATGAACCGTCGACCTGGATTGCGACTCATTATCTTTGGATATCGAGTGAAATCAAGACATCGATAATGTAGTATGTAATTTTAATTGTTAAGAAGTGTATTAGGTGGTGGTTAAGCTATTAATAATAAATTAATATTATAATTTTGTATAGATTTGTATAGTCTGCTGCATAAATATGTAGGTATGTATAAATTTACAAAGCTTCAGAAACAGAACATGTAATCGTGTTTGTAGGTGCAGGCGTATTTTGGAAACCGAAGGCTATATAAGTTTCTAAAATTTTGTCACCTTACATATTTATGTAGCTGACTGTACAGTTAAGTCTAAAGTATTTTACGATAAAATTTTATTTGTGATGACAAAATAATTTTATCTTTGAATGTTTAATATGTAACCTCAATTATATTTAGACAGTTGAGTATACTATGATAACTCTTAAAGTTCACAATGTCTTTATGTATTAATGCTTAAAATGTATTTTTCATTTATTGAAATATCCATTATTATATTTTCAGTCTATTAATTTCCTTCTTCTTTTCCTACAGATATATTTTGCTGCGTATATTTATAAAGTTCCCGAGTAGTCCTTTTTTAAACACGTCCATCGTCATTAAAACAATGTGTGTTTAACGAACACAACGAGCTTGCTTTCATCATTGATCAGGCCGACGAAGATACGGCAATAAACGTGTGTCATTCGCTTCAGTCTGAGTCCCCTTGCCGTATACGGTTAAAAATATCCCACATCGAGGCGTTGAAACGCGTAGTGTACACTATGGTTAATAACTTTCAAAGTAAATTGATCGAGCGCAACCTTGCATGGCATAGCATGCGTACCTCTATAAGAACGTTTCGCCACCTGTAGCCATGGTGGCCCGTAAAC